CAAAGGGGCTGATAAAACCTCTTTCCATATTTTTCATTTGAGGCAATTAAATACAGGGCACTCCCTTTGTAAAACTAAACACCAATTAAGCACCCATAAGACACACAACACCCAATCACAACCCACAACACACACAGACAACCACACCACAACGCAACCCACATCAAGGCCCATAGTACACACACACTGACAACCACCACACACACCGACAACCACCACACACACACTCACATCACACGCACCCAAAATCATAACTCAAGACCCAACCACAGCCCACAACCCACATCTTAATGCAACACTCTTTCATCCCTTATTTTTAATTCATGGCAATGACATACAGGCCACCCGAAATGTTACTATCTACAAATGCAACATCCTCTTTCATCCATTGTTCAATTCATAGCTCAAACATTCAAAAAATGTGTAGTATTGAATAGAGACATTTGCAAACAGGCTACACGAAAGAATGCTATGAACAAATCAAGCTCATTTTTACATTCGTTTTTCAAATTATCATTCAAATATGATAGAAATTGATAAATCCTCATCCCATATTTTTCGTTTGAGGCAATGACATACAAGACATTCGAAAAGTTGTTATCTACAAATGAGCACCTTCTTTAATCCAATTTTTCAGATTATAAATCGAGCACACTTACAACCATTCTCCAAATTCCTTTAAAAAAACACATAAAGAAAGCCATTCCATCGTAAAATCACTTGAAGAAAACCATTACATCGAAAAATCTCCAGAAATCGCATATAGTTCCATCGAAAATTATTTATGTAGCACAGTAACCAGAGATTAGAGGGAGGAGGAAGAGGTGAAAGACAACACTAAGCACAAGAGGAGCAATCGAGGGAGAGAGGCAAACACCTAGGGTAGAAATTTGGCGAGGAAATGCGGTCGAGAGGGTCCGCGGGGTACTATTCGTACGAAGGAACATGGGTAGCAGGGTTGAGCCTGCGACCGTGCTTATAAGAAATATCAATTAGATTATACGATGAACATCACCAACGCAGTAACCAAACGGGCTAGCTGATGTTTTTAAAATGCATTACACCAATAAGCTGCCCCAAACGAGCCCTAAATGGGAGAAGATGAAGAAGGCAATACAGAAAAAATACCTTACACCGCAATATCGCAAGGATATGTTCCTCAAACTCCACAATTTGTAGCAACGAGATCTATAAGTTGATGAGTTCATGACCCAATTCAACCACCTGCAGCTAAAGTGCAAGCTGACAGAGCCAACAGAGCACACGATCGCCAGAATATCTCGGGTGCCTAAAGCAGTCATTAACAATGTGGTACAATTACAACTACACTGGACGTTTGAGGGATGTCCAAACACTAGCCATGAATGTGGAAAAACAACAGAAGCAATGCAAGCAACAACTGCCATTTAGACCACCACCTTAAACTAAGTAATCATCTGCAACTTCTACAGCTGACAAGGGTACCTCAGGAGGAAATAACATCATTGGACAATGGTCTAATAGGGCCAATTAGAGTGGGAAAAATCCACAAATACCTCAAATACAGTGCCAGCCAGAAAGTGTTTTTAGTGCTACGACTACGGTCACATAGCCTCCAGCTGCCCAACAAACTACGTCATTACATGCACAAATCAAGGCGCCGTCGAGGAATTTGATGAGTAATCAAGAGAGTCCATAAGAAGAGCTTTAGCTCTATGGAGACGAAGGAGAAACACTACTCGTTCGACAAATACTACTGTCCGAGCCTGAGCTAGACTAATCTTGGTTAAGGCATAACGTTTTTTTGCATCATGTGAAGTCCCGACTCTGATGGTGCCTAAAAAGGATGGATCTTGGTGAATGTGCATTCACAGTCGAGCCATCAACAATATTACCATCAAGTATCTATTTCCTATACCCCGCTTGGATGATTTCTTAGACCAGCTACATGAAGTCACTATGTTCTCCAAAAGATCTACTTGCGAGGCGGATATCACCAAATACGAATGTGGCCAGGAGGCAAGTGGAAGACTGCCTTCAAGACGCGAGACAAAGTGGACCGTTATGTCTTCAGTCTGTCAAACGCACCTAGCACTTTCGTGAGATTAATGAACCAAATATTTAGACCTCAGATTGAAAATTTTGCTATTGTCTACTTTGACAACTTTCTAGTATACAACCAATCGGAGAAGGATCATTTTGCATCACCTGAAGGCCGTATTTGAGGTACCGCGAGCCAAGCAACTATATGCCCATGCGAAGAAATGTCACTTCATGATATGTCAAGTATGCTTTTTAGGTTACTTCGTGTCTAGTGCAGACATTCAAATAGATCTCATATAAATAAAGGCCATTATTTGTTGGGTTTGTACCACAAACATTCAATGAGCTGAGACAATATTTGGGACTGACGTCCTATCGATGATTTGTTAGAAATTTCAACACTATCGCCTCTACTCTGATTGAACTTCTGAAAGGAAAGGAGTTTAGCCCATAACAGTTTTGACACACTGAAAGAAAAGGTGACTCAGTCACCCGTGTTAGTACTATCAGACTTCAACTAACTTTTTGAGGTAAAATGTGATGTCTCTGGCTTAGGGATCAGACCATTACTAAGCTAAGGAGGACACCCCATCGTTTTCTTCAGTGAGATGTTGATCGAGTCCAGAATGAAATACTCAACCTGCGATAATGAATTCTACGTCTTCTTAAGAGCTCTAGAACACTGGAGTCATTACCTATTAACAAACGAGTTCACACTATTTAAAGATCAGGATGCCATAAAATTCTTAACAATTAGAGCAAACTACAGGAACGACACTCCACCTGGGTGAAATTTCTAGCCCCATTTTAGTTTGTGCTAAAACATAAGGCGAGAAACCATAACTATATAGCAGATGCACTTAGTCGTCGAGACCTATTAATCACATCCACGCAGGCTCAAGTTGTGGGCTTCGAGGTCATAAAGGATCTATATGGATCCGTCAAAGATTTCAAAAACATATGGGAGCAATGTCAGGAGAAGCCAGGAGGGTAATATTACCGCACAGATGGATATCTGTTTCAACAGAGTCAGTTATGCATTCCCCGGTGTTCACTAAGAGAGGCCATTGTCTAGGAAGGCGGCAGCGGAGAAGCAGGTCATTTCGGTAGGGATGAAAGTCTCTCACTCATAAGAGAGTATTTTTTTTTTTGCCAAAGCTAACAAGAGATGTAGAACGACATACCAAGCAATGCAGGATTTGTCATCTCGCAAAAACGAGCTCAGAATGTTGGATTATACACACCACTTTCACTATCAGAGGCACCGTGGGTGGACGTTAACATGGATTTCGTGCTAGGACTTCCAAGGACTCAATGGAAGAAAGATTTCGTGATGGTTGTAGTTGACAGATTCTCCAAGATGGCTCACTTTTTACCTTGTCACCGTACACTGGGCAGGCTCTCACATCGTCAATCTATACTTCAGGGAAATTGTATGACTACATGGGATTTCCAAGACAATTAGCTTCGATAGAGATGTCAAATTCCTGAGCCATTTTTGGAGGACACCATGGGGAAAGCTCAACAACGCATCCACAAACAGATGGACAGATAGAGGTAGTAAACCGGAGTCTTGATAATCTCTTGAGGTGTTTCGTGAGAAAAACATAAAACACCGAGATCTCATCCTAGCTGAAACAACGGGATCCATCAACCAAAATACATGATGAACTCCCTTCGAGATTGTGTACAAGCACAATTCGCTCGCACCATTTGAATTGGTGCCGCTCTTGCCATTTTAAAAAATCAGCAAGTATGCCACATAATTAGTTCACGAGATCCAAAAACTCTACGAAGAAGTGACAAGGAAATTGCTAAGCAGAATCGAAAATACCACACACAAACAAATAAATTTAGGAAAAAAAGTAACATTTCAGGAAGGCGACCTCATATGGATTCGATTGAAATAGGAGAGATTTCCTGCAGGATCAGTTGGGAAGCTGAAGCCGAGAGCAGATGAACTTTTCAAAATACTTTAGAAGTTAAACAACAATGCATATAAGATCAAACCGCATGGGGGCTACAACATTTCATCCACATCCAACGTCGTCGACTTAACACCATACTTTGAAGAGCGTGGAGCTTCGACGAATGAGGTCAAAGCTTCCCCAACCTTTGGTCGCTTTCGTCGAAGCTTCCCCAACCTTTGGTCGCTGATGCGGGAGTTGTATGCACCCCGAAGTGTGGATGATGTCGTGGGAGTCAGAACCTTGCGACACTTCGCAGGAGCCACGATCCCTCGTGAAAAACACGAGCCGCGATCCTGCGGTCCAGAACTCGCGATCTTTCGCGGTCACGCACGAAGGCGAGAGGAGACCACAATCTTTCACGATTCGGGGGAGGTTATCTCGCGAGCATTTAGCACTGTCTTCTTCTAAGTGTTTTTTTCTCTGGATTCTTCTTATCTTTTCCAACCCTTTTCTTTTGTATAAAGGTAAAATGCTATAAATAGCTGGTCTCTGTGTTTAAGAGGCAGTTCTAGTAGAGTTGTGCTCTAATCTTCTGTATGAAGTCTTTTCACCCTTGTTAGGGTTATATCCGATTGCAGATGGTGCTTCAGTTGTATTCTTTTCGGAGGTGGTGTTTCACCTTTTCTCACCGATCCTTTTTCCTATCTCTCTCCTAGCTGCTTATCACTCCCATAAGTCTACCGCCACTCTACCGCCACTCATACTACCCCTACAACTTTACTGTCCTATCTACCCTCAAACAACCAAACACCATGACAAATACCCAAACAACCCCGACATCCCCATCTTGCCCTACCACCCTATCGACACTACCACCGCCTTAGGACTTCTTCTTACATCACTAACCAGGGGATTGGCCTATTATTGTATTTCCTTTCTACTAGAATCGTGTTGTAATCTTATTTCTACATTATTAAAAGTTTGCCTTTCTATTTCATTGTTCTTCCTGCCAGTTATGGCGACACATTAAATAGAATACTTAGCTAACTTTTTCTTATCTCGGTGCAGGAAATTTTTTGGATGCTGAACGTGAGAGAGATCATTCGGGCATACAGAAGGGTTCTCAAGTTGAGGTATTTTTTGGGTTGTTTTTCTCCCTTATCTGGATTATTTTATCATGCTTCTTTGTATAGTTATATTTGTATATCGTAAGATGTATATGTATATTTTAACAATCTTCTATTTATTTTACATATCAGAACTGATTTTCCAGATTGCTTTTGAATTGGCTGTTCATAAATTGGAAGCAATTTTGTATTCCTTGCAATTTTAGTATTAACAAGCTCTTGAAATTTTCCGCAGTATCAGTTTTTATAGATAGATTCATTCAAAATCTCAGGTCATGTCTGATGAAGATGGCCTTAGAGGAGCCTGGTTTTCAGCTAGGGTTCTTGACATGAAAGATAACAAGGCTTATGTCTGCTACAATGATTTTTCAACGAAAGAAGGTAATTAGTGTTATTTTTGTTTCTTTTTTAATAATCATGCTCTTAGAAATTGTAGTAGGGTGGACCATTTTATCTTCCTGGAAGTTAGAGGGCTTATGCTTTCATGTCACATGATTGCTGTGATATGTACCTAAGTGGAGTCCAAGCCTTGCCCATCAGCGTCCATCTATGTGAATAGGTTTTTGGAGTAAAGCTTTTTTCTCATTGATAATTTTGTGATTTTTTTTTTGTATAGGATTTTGTATTTTCTTAAATGCACTGTTTGTTCTATTAATTGCAATAACTTAAAAGATTAAATGTACTCCCATGAAATGCAAAATTTTGTAGTTACCTTATCTTTTCCTCAATTTTCTCATTTGTTTTCTTACTTGTCAATTGTTTTTCTTATACCCGGTTGATTTATGATTTTACTTAAGAGTACACTGGCAACTCCTAGTTTCATCATAAATTTACTTTAAACCAAACTTTGCAGTCAGTATTATTTGAAGTTGGTGAATGTTTGTTTCTATCTCATATCTTTTGCAAAGCACACCACTTCTTTTTGCTTTGCCATATTTGATTCCAATGTTATTGAGCAATCCATGGATATTTTTAATTCAGTGTTACTGAATTTATGTGTTTTTTTTTTTTTGCAGGCCATCCAAAGGAATGGATTGTGCTGGAAAATGAAAGAGAGAAAGCTCCCAGAATACGCCCTGCTGTCCTTGCAACAGCCATGAGGTATGAAGGCACAAGGAAACGGCGTAGAGAACATCATGGAAGCTATATTTGGGCTATCGGAGATCATGTTGATGCTTGGATGCATGATAGGTTTGGATGATTTGGATATTTGGTTTTTGTTTAGATTTTCTTGTATAAATTTAAGCGCCTTGCAACACTGTATTAGCAGTTAGATAAGAAGTACTTGGGCGTTTCATTTGCCTGACGTCAGTTTCTTTGGCAGCGTTGTTGGCAAACTGCAACTGCTGTTGCTTTTTTGTTTGCTTCATAGTTTGAAGCCTTGAACGGCTTTGTTGTTATCTTGTCCTTCTTTTTTTATATGTTTTATTTGGCTTTGGAATAAGATCAAAGGTTCTTGGATATTTCCAAGCTCATGCATCCTCTTTTCTGAATTAATTTTCTTGTTTTTTCATGCTTGTTTGATTGTCAGTCTGTTTAAATTTCTTTTATCTAATATTATGCTTTTACTCTCAGATGGTGGGAAGGCGCAATTGTTGAAAAGAGCTCAGGAGATGACACAAAGCTGACTGTGCAGTTGCTAGGTATGTGCATCTCTTTGGTGGTATTATTATTTTCCAATTGCGTTCACTCCGTCAATAATTACATTGTTGGGATCTATTTACTTATTGTACTGGGCAGATTGATTGAGTGACTTGTGAAATATTATTATTAATTTTTTAATTTCTAAGGGGACTTTAGATACATAAAATTGAATTTATATCTATTTACATATTAAAAACCTAATTATCATTTTTTATTTAAACACCACTGTTTTTCTTTAAATACATAGCAATATTGCGTTCACTCCGCTTAACTCTATTTAAACACCACTGTTTTTTTGGCTTTCTCACCCTTATTGGTGCGATAACTTTCCATTTGCCAGGCATTGTGCTAGTTTCTTTTTCCACTCATATGCTCTCTATTCAATCTCCTCGATGTCAATTGGAATGTTTTTAAATTGAGCTAAGAGTGCTTCTGTGCACGTTCATTTATTTGTCTATCTGGTCATGATTTGCCTTTTGGGTGGAGATGGGCTTGCTTTTTCTCAGACGCCTTGTCTTTTGCTTCTTCCAAATATTTCTTCTCTTTGAAAGCTTTGCTTCTTTGTCCACATCGCCTTAAGGTTAATTTTTTGCCACAAAAGGAATGCAAATAAAGTAAGCCCGTATAAAATAAATATGATTAAATTAGAATAGAAGGTTTAAAAAATGCGCCAATTTATTTTTTCACTGCTATGGTGAGAAGCTAACTCAAGGGGACGGACGAAAGTATGCCCAGCTCCACCCAAAAGTTAAATCGCGGATTGATATTTGAATAAATGAATGTGCGGAGGATCTTTCTTAGCCAATACAATGGCCTTTTCCCTAATATCTGTTGATACTTTCTTTTTTCTTATTCTAGGTTCCTATGTAACTTCAACAATATAGATCATTACTGACGGTAGTGCTACACTTTTTGATAGTTGTGCTACACTTTTCTGATGTTTGTTCTACACTAATGATCGACGATTGTGTCTGATTTGTGATTGAGAATTGAGGTTTTACTGATCCATCTCTTTTAGCAACATCTTTCATCCTCTAGAATGTCTTTCCACTCATTTCTTCCTCAGATTTTTCTTCAATTTTTAGTTTCCTTTTTCATATTTTGAAGGGAATATCTGCACTGACTATTTTGATAGGTACTCATTCAAGTTTCTGGTGATTTGTTCATGGAATTTTTTTTTTTTTTTGAGTTTTTTCCCTTTCACATTTTCATTTGTGTCTGATTTGTGGGTTGCTATGTTTATTGCGTAAAGAAAATGGATGTTGTGAATAATTTTTGGAAAACTGTACTTCCTGCCTTTAAGTTGTTTTTGTTTGGTTGCTTGGTTTGCTGCTTCTTTCCTTCAATTAGGATGCTTCTAATTTCACAGTTTGCTCTATTTTTTACTTTTGTGTTGTGCTTGATTCTGTTTTTATGCTGTTCATTTTCTGTTCCAAGTACCAAAATCTTCTTTTTTACATTTGCTATTTTGTTTTTTTATTTTCCATCCTCTTCTTCCTTTGAGTTCCCTTTTTTTTGCGGCTTCATTGGTGAATGCTTTATGAAGTTTGTACTTGTGTAATTTGCCTTTGTTTGGATCGGACATATTTGGATGCTGGTTTTCCTTTTTTGTACTGGCTCTTTTTCATCACTTTGGTTATCATTATGACTCGTAGTTGTTATAATTGTCTTTCACTTTTTTTGTTGTCCAGTTATGTTGCTCAGTATGTCCTTCCACTGAATATATCTTGTCAATTAAGCTAAGATTTTGATATGCGGGTGCCTTCTGCGCATCCCACTCATGAAGGAGCAGCCGAGACTCCCACCCTGACTAGAGGGGTAGGTTCTCCAGAAATTGCTGAGGGCGATTTCAGCACCCTAGTGGGGCCTACTAAACCGCTGATCACGTATAGAAGAGGGAATCAAAGGGGACTTTGGGGAAAGAATTTCAATGGGACTTTGGAGAGTATTTAGGAGGGGTAAGGGCTAGGGTTTGGATTGATGTTTGTGTTTGCTGCAGTTTTCTTTTTCGCTGGTGGTGTTCCTAGTTATGTCTAGGGCTTGCTGAGGACGATCTACTTCTCGAACAGTTGATTATCATTGTATCTTGTTTGTTTTCTTTGTAAAAGCAGCCTTCGTTGAGTTCTTTTGACCTATCTATTGCAATTTCATCGTTGTTTGTTCGCTGTTTTTGGTTTCGGATCGTATCAAATTGGTATCAAAGCAAGATCTTGTGGGGATGACAACAAAGAAAGCGGATGTGGTGGAAGGAGAAGTAGGACAAATCAAATCGGGAATAAAAGAAATGTTTGCCAACAGAGAACAAGTTTTCTTCCATAGGGTGCCAAATAGAGGATGGATTTGAGAGCATAGGAGAAATGCGAAAGATGATGATGAAGCTCATGGAGATGCAATCCAGGGCTTTGCCACCCGCTCAAGTTGTAAACTCTAACCAAAGGGTTAATCAGGGAATTATTGGTCAGATCAAGAGAGAAGAGGATCTAATGAGAGGACAATGAGGAGGATATCATCTACCACAAAGAGGGAAGGGGAGTGGAGACTTCTGATGGGGGGGCTGGGCCAAAAATTGGAGAGGAGGGATGGGTTGGGCAAGGGGCACAAATGAGCATGAAGGAGGGGAGAGGGAATCGTAAGTGGGGCATGGTTATGGCCGAAGGAGGGAGTTTCGCCTTAGTCATGTGGGAGGAAACACCTGAGGAATATGAAGTTGACTGGAGATCCAATGGTCCGAAAGCTGAAGATGCCAATCTTCAAAGGAGAAGATGCACATCGGTGGGTGTATGAGTGGAGTGATGCTTTGCTTGTTAATGGATTAACTAAGGAAGAGAAGCTCATGGCGGCTGGATTATGTTTGGAGGGAAAGGCTTTAGCATGGTTTCAGTGGATGGAAACAAGGTATTTGATAAATTTGTGGGAAGATTTTAAATATTCCTTGTTGGAGAATTTCTGAATCATCCAGGTTGGAGAGCTACACGAGCAATTCTATGCTCCGACTCAGGATGGGACGATGATAGAAGACAAAGTGAGATTCGAGCTCTTGTCGGGGCAGTTGAGGGGCTTTTTTGCAATAGGACTGGAGGGAAACTTCTTGAAGGGTTCTGAAGCCCGACATTCAAGTGACCCATCCAATCGTTGAGATTGCGTGGATTGAGGGATGATGAAGCTCTCGCCTAAATGATGAAAGACCAGAAACAAATGAAGTAAACCAGCAAAGGAGGCAACATGTGACGATTCTACATGAGTACCTCGATAGCCACGACAACAACGAGGACCCATATAGTGTCATATCAAAAAGAGACGCTAAAGGAGAAGAATAGGGGAACTCATTTCAGGAGCACTTTCAAGCGCCTTACTGATGAAATGTGTAGGATAAAAGAGCAAAATGATTATATTACCGCTGTGGCGTTAAGTATGCGTTAAGCCACCATTGCAAGGAGTGTGTCCTTCAGATTCTTTTAGTTCAGGAGGAGATAAGGGTGAGAAATCAGAGGAAGATGCAATGGAAGAGGAGTACTTGCATTTGAATGTAGTGGATGTGTCCCTCAATTCAGTGGTGGGATTTACTTTAAATCACACTACAAAAGTGAGGGGAATAATCGATTGTGGTGCTCTTTATCTTATAGCGGATTGTGGATCAGTTAGGGTTGGAATCGGTAGCTATAGGGAGCTTCAGAGTCATGAGGTGGATAGGGAAGGTGGAGAAAAGTTGGGTGATTTGCTAGGGGTAGGTTCTGACATTAAACGGTCTGCAGGTGATGGATGACTTCCTTCCCTTGGGCTTGGGTAGCACAAATGTGATTCTGGTAATGATGTCGCTGCAAGCACTTGGGGAGATGAAGGTGGACATGAAATCCTTGACGATGGAGTTCCAGGTGGAGGGTGATAAGAGTGAAGTATTTGATATTTAGAGGGTATTTTTTTTTATGTTTTATATTTTTTTATACTCTAAAAGGCTTGAGAAAGATGTTTTATCCTAATTGTGCAGGGAACATGGAGAACGAAATAATTGGAGCGAAAAAGATTGAAAATAAATACAATTGAAGGATCTCCGACCAGTGCACTCGTGCCAACTTGTCACCGCGCCTACGCCCTTATTAACACACTCGTGCCCTTTGTAAAGTGCCCACACCAGCACCGCCATCCTGCGGCTGCTCGAGAGATCAAACTACAGTGTACCTGCTCTGACATCGCAACACACCAATGTTGTACTCAGCTCACCCTCGTTGTGATCGTGACACACCCATGCTAGTTTGTAGAATAATTTTTGGCAAGTATTTTCTTGTGTTTTTCGAGATTTATCTATAAATTAATTCAAACGGTTGATCTTATACATCTTTTGGTGGTTGGAAGTTGTAAGAAAGGCAGAGTTTTGATTAAAGAAATGATTCCTCTTTGGTTTCTCTTGTTTCTTTGGATGGAAACCTCTAGAGGGATTGCCTCCCTTTGTTTTCTTGAGAAGTTTTGGGGAGTTCTATTGTATGAGAGGAGAGTGTGTTATTCTTGTGGAGAATATAAGTTTTCTTGTAAGTTCTTGCTTTTGTTATTTTCTTGCAATGAAAACTTGCATGAATTTTATGTCTGCTTTCTCTACAACGCGCGGCTAGTCCTTTCTTTATGTCTTTGTGATGTAGAGGTAGTGGTTTTTATCGTATTTTTTTGAAATGTGTTTTTGATTCATTTTCTCGTGCTTTAACAACCTACGTTGTTGGTTAATTTTTGAACTTCATTTACTCATAGTCTGACCAACTAGGATATGAAAATGTTTCGTGAAACTATGACCTCTAACTGTTGCGTAGTAAAAATTAACTACAAAATTCTGAGAGGTTAGATATATTCCTGTGGAATTCTGTAATCATCCCTGGGGACTGGATCTATTTAGCGGAATGCCAGGGGGATTGAGGAAACCTCAACTTTCATAGATTTTATGCTTCTTTTGACCCAGACATGGGCATAAAGAGCACTATATCCCTGATTGACAACGATCACATAGGAAAACATTTAGAAGGCCATAATCACCACGATTCCTGAATCACAGTGGCATGAGCGTCGTCTAACTTGAAGAACTCATAATTTTTCTTGTTTTGCTTTCCGCATCTACTGCACCGAGATCAATTGTTGTTAATTAGAATTAGGATTTAAAAACCTCCGTCAAACTATGTTCACCGGATTCGTAAACTAGAGATTTTTTTGACGAAATAATTATTACACTTTTTTTGTGGGATTGATACATTGTACTCTCTAACCGCCTTACTATTTGACACATGCACTTGCGTTGTATGGACGACTTGCCCTGCGATAAGTCAACTTTTCGACACCTTTTCTAGAGAAATATGTTAATAATTGTTTTTGCTCTTAGGAAAACCTTAGTTGAAAATTTTAGTATTTAAGTTTGACACCTTTGGTTTTCCTCTTCTGTTTATTTTTTGTTGATATATCTGTATTTTTGCCTTTTTTTCTGCAGGTGTTAAAAAAATCTTAAAATCTAAAAGTCAAAAGTAATTGCTATTAATTTATTTTCCGTATTTGTTGTTTTTTCTTGAATACTGTGTGTTGCATTTGCAAATGAGCGTGTTGACTGACTTGTGTTGGTCAGAGTGTTCGTGTGTTTCGTAAAGTTGCTATTTTTCTTTTTATGTTACAGGGAGCTGAGGTTGACCTCGCACCTCTAGACGTCTTTGGAGATACCATTTAATTTTTGAATCACTTGTAGAGATGACTAACCCTAATTTCCCTACCATGAAACCACTTATGGAGTATGATAATCTGTCTGTCAGAATGCGATGGAGATTGAGGAAGCCTCAACTTGATGGATTCTAGTCTTCTTTTGACCAAGATTTAGGCATAAGGAGTACTATATTATCATTTGATAACGATCACATAAGAAAACATTTAAGAAACCACGATCACTAAGTTCTCCAAATCGTAGAGGCACGAGCCTCATCGATCTTGAAGATCTCTTTTGATTTTACCTGTTTTGCTTGATGTCTCTACCGCACTAAGATCTATTGCTTTGAATTAGGATTAGGACTTAAAAAACTTTCTTTGTGAACCTATCAAGCTAAGTTCACTGGATTTGTAAACTAGAGATTTTTCTGCTGAAATAATTATTAAACTTTCCCTGTGGATTAATATGCGGTACTCTAACCGTATTACTACTTGACACGTTTACTTGCGATGTACGACCGACTTGCTTCAGTAAGTTTTGGCGCGTTAGGCGGTAGGAATGTGATATTGAGAGGAGATTCTAACTTATGCAGAATCACGATCTTGCCCAAAACCATGGTCGAGTCGATACAGGGAGCAGGGATAGGCTACTTGATGGAGTTGCAGAGCATTGAGGTCCTAGATCCCGAGTTGGCAGAGTTAAGCGGGTTACCACCCCTGAGGGAGCACGGGCACGTTGTTACATTAAAGGAGGGTGTCCCTCCTATCAGTGTCATGCCATACCAGTATCCTCAAATTTAGACTGATGAGATAGAAATGCTAATTCAAGAGATGCTCAAGGCGGGGTTATCTGACCTAATGGAGCCCCTTCTCCAGTCCAGTTTTGTTGGTGAAAAAAAACATGGTAGTTGAAGGTTCTATGTTGACTATCAGGACTTGAATAAGAAGATGGTGTTGGATAAGCTTTCTATTCCTGTGATTGATGAGTTGCTAGATGAACTTTATGGGTGAGTCGGGTTTGCATCTTATGTTGTATTTTTTGCTTAAGAAGATTTGTGTGATTGCTGGAAATTTATAATTTTTGTTCATTATGATTTTTTATTTAAATACACATGGCAGAAGGGAACATGAAGTTTTTAGAAATTTTCCTAACTGGTTTTATGCTATCAAATTTCTGCTTATTCAAAGGGTCTGTTTGGGGCAGCTGCAGCTTATCCAGCTTATGCTGATAAGCAGCTGATCCTGATAATCTGTTGATGATCAGGTGGTCCGGATAAGCTGTCTGGTTGTTTGGTTTGTGCGTTTGAAAAACAACTGATTCTGGAAAAATGACCATTCTGCCCCTGTTGAGTGCAAACATAAGAGTGCAAACATAAAAAACTAAACATAAAAAACTAGCTGTACATAGAAAGAACAATGATACTCAACAATTTTGATTGAAATTCAAGTCAAATCCAAGTCTAATCAACAATTTTCAATTTCAAATTGAATTTTAAGTTGATCCAGATAAAACTTAGGGAAATTTTTAAATAGGACAACTTGCCTCTTTAACAGATATTTAACAAAGTCATGTGTCAGAAGAACCGTGAATCCATAAATGTTTGCCAAAATAACTAGCAAAACTCTCATCCTTGCCTTCAAGCCTTGAAACCTTGCCTTCAAGCCTAGAAATGTCACTTATAAAAGCAAACCAAAGTACTTGTAAATGCAAACCAAAGAACATGTAAATGCAAATCAAAGGACGTCCCTTTGTTTTTCCAGCTAAAAAAAACCATCCTGGCATTGTGTAGGTAAAATCACGATCCAAAGAGAAAGTAGATGAATACAATGAAATCCTATAAAAGACCATAAAAAAACCATCCTGGCATTGTGACAGCTGTAAGTAGTGCAGAGAGTTGAGGCGATCTGTAAAGGGTCGCGCAGTTCAAATTAGTTGACCAATCTTACCTCTCTGCTCAAATGCACAGTCATCTTCGCATCCTTGCCATCCCAACGCCAGATTCAGTGCTTCTGTTGTTCCACCACAGGGGCATCGTCAGGCAGCGAGAGTAGATCCATGGCTCCGACTCCTCATCTAGCTCGAGAGCAAGTCCTTGTCAGCAAATTTCTGCTGCACTTCTCGGGCTGAGAAGGTTCGATCGGCATGCGGGTGAAGGAGCGATCAGAAGGGACAGGCGAGGGAGGTAGATGCAGTCGAGCGAGGGAGAAGATGGAGGGCATAGGAGGAAATAGGCAAGAAACGCAGAGGGAAGACATCGGCCGTGGGGTCGATCCCGCGGCCGGCGTTTATCATAACAGACGAACCTCCGTTTTCACATCCGCGGCACCAACACACGAAACAAACATCAGGGCGGCGTTTTTAAAAACGCCCCCGTTGTTTTAAGCTGCCCCAACCGGGCCCTTAATATCCAACATTTAACGTTTCCATGCTTAGTGTCTTAATCACACTCCAAAATCCGGGCCCTAAGTTTGCTTGTCTGAGACGGTAGGGCACCTTTGGATGTGTTTTTTTTTATTTTTTTTATTTTTTTTAAAGCATTTAAAAGAGATATGTTCCAGCTGTTTTCTTTTTGGGATTTCAGAAATGCATAAGCGTGTTTCCTAAAATTTTGAAAGTGCCATCAGAGGTATTTAGAATTTGTTTTTCAAGATATCTATTATGACAGTAGGAAACCAATACACATTTAAACATGTTTCTATTTTTAAGTGAAAGCAAAAATTTAAAAAAAACAAAACAATGAAAAAGCAAAACACAACCAAAAATGCTAAGATCTCCGAGCAATAGGAATTTATTAGTACGAAGAAGGTTTTCAGTTGATATATGTGAATTCTTTTGCAGAGGCTTTAAAAGCTAAAATTCTTAGAATTACTTGTTTTTGTTCTCCTACTTCGCCTACAATGGTCAATGTCTTATCCGTGTCTAAAAACATGACAGTTGGCCTCTTTGTTTACATTGCTAATGGTTTGGATGCATCAACTATGGTAGGGCTATGAATTGGTTTGGTGTTTGATTGGTAAGCGAGAAGCTTTTTAAAATGGATTACCATTAATGTCTTCAATTTATGGAATAAATATATTAACTTTACATGTATTTTGAGATATTATTCATGCATTTTTATATGCAAACATTCTTTAGATATTCATAACAATTTGAACTACTACAATTGATTATATTCGTTTTCATCCATGAAGCTCGTTGAACCTATTTGTACTGCTTTCAGTGCATGATTCAACTCCAACTTTACTTGCAGCTAAAAGTGACAAGCTGGTTGTTGATGCATGGAATGTTCGCCCTGCACTTATATGGAAGGATGGACAATGGATGGAGTGGTTCCACACTAGGAAAAGGTCACCTAAGCCACATGAGGTCTCCATTCTCTTATTTTATCACTTTATGCAATTAACTTTTCCTTTGGTTGAATTGATATGATGTCTTGCATGTATTTGTTTACCATCAGGGTGATACTCCAACTGAGAAACGGCAAAAATTAGGTGGGCTTGAGGCAATTGCTCATTCTGAAGTTGATGCTGCTGGAATAGGGATAATTTCAAAGAATATACTTGTAGATGTGCCTAAAAAACCTGAAGATTCAAGATCATTGATTTTAACTGCAAAGGAGAGAGCTTTTACCGTTGGAAAGAATTCAAGGGATGAGATTACTTCTAATGTACTTAAAACAAAACGGTCAGGTTTGCAGAAAGAAGGATCGAGGGTGGTTTTTGGGGTTCCAAAGCCTGGAAAGAAAAGGAAGTTTATGGAAGTCAGCAAGCATTATGTTGAAGATAAATTTGAGAAGGTTAGAGAAAGTAGTGATCCCATGAAATTTGCAAAATATTTGATGCCGCAGGCATCCCAGAAATTTAAGAGTACTTCAAAAGTGGATAATAAAGGAAAGAAGCCTGGAGACAGCAAGTCTAGAGTTGGGGTCAAAGCTGAGAATTCACAGGGCATCGAATCTAGAAGTCAAACTCAGAAGGCCGATGCATCGCTTGCTGCATCAAATGGGGAAGCCAGACATGAAAATCTTGAAAGCGCGATGTCTAGTTTCAGCAGTAATAATGAAAGCTTAGAAAAGACAAATACAGTTAAATTTGGCTCTTCCCGCCCAACTGAAATTCTAGCTGTTGAGTCGGCAAACTCTGGGCAGCCTGCACCTACTGCTTTGTTGTCAAAAAGAAAGAATGTTCCAGGTTCTGAATCAGAAGTAGCTGTGAAAGCAAAATCTATTGTCCATAGAACAACCAAAAGTGATGATAAAGGTCTTGGAGTTCATGGAAAGACAATGCATGAAATTGTGGAGCCTCGTAGATCTAACCGTAGGATTCAGCCAACATCAAGGGTAATTTCAGTTTAAGTTCAGTTTATTTCTAGGTTAATAATGTTGTTTCATAAGCTTGCTATCATCTTCAGAACATCCATGCATTATTTGGAACCGTTTTTTGCTGTTTGGAATTGGTTTTGGCCACCCGTTTGCAATTTATTGACCTTTTTTAATTAAGAAGGATTTTGTAAATTTGAATGTTATGATGCTGTTCTAGATGTTTTGCATTTAAGATGCTTATGTAGCTGAAACGAGGTTGTTGTTTTGTGTTCATAAATTTGAACCTTATTGCAAGATTTCTTTCTCAACAGCCAAAATAGATGGGGGTGGTACTGCTTTTTACTATGGCACCTTGCTGCTGTTGTCACTTTTGTCAGAAACTTCCTAGATATGCTCGGTATATGAAAAGCTGATTAGGGGCAGAGTGTGATGCGGTGACCTAATGGAATCGAGTTGTTGTGAGAACGGTTAGATAATGTCATTTTTAGTTCAAAGTTGATGTTGTGAGATATGTACTTCCTGACATAGAAATGAAACGCAAAGAACACAAGCAAACACAGGTCGTTTACCTGGTTTGATCCAACTGGATCTATGTCCACGGGAGGTAATCAATCAAATAGTTCACTAAGACAAAAAAAAATGGAGAATACATAACTTATACATACCTCGTTTTCCTTCTATGGCCTCCCTCTCAAGCGACACCTTGATACAAGGCCTCAAGATGCTCTCCTCCTCTCTAGCTCTCTAGCTATTCTCTCCTCCTTTGTGATAGCTTAAAATCTCTTCCCTTGCACTCCTAAGCCTCACACCCTCTCTATTTATAGAAGCAAGAGAGTGGTAAGTGGGAGGTAGGTGAGCAGTACCACATTATAAAAGTGTCCTTTTACTTTAGTTCATTAATTAGGGGTTAAAATAACAGTTGATATAGGGGGATTGATGACAAACCTGTTTAAAATATAATGGTTTTGTCAACTTGAATAGTCATGGGCCCTAGTTTATTTACGGAAAGTTTGCCCAACCCTACTGAAATATTTTTATTAGCAGCCATGGATTGCTTCGTCAATGAGGATTTTATAGATTAAGGGTGTAAACTTACTGAAGGATTATTTTTAAGATTTACCTTGGTTAACAGGGTTTCATGGCTTGTCTAGTATAATTCATAACTCATAGCTCATTAGGCCTAGTTGTTAGGGAGCATTCAGGCTGGAGTCCATAATCGTAATATAGTGTTGCCATTTCAATAACTAGCCAGTTTACGGCACTCGCAACAATATTGAAATGGTTTTTCTTTTTGTTTTTTTTTGGGTGTGATAATATGATTAAAATTAATGCTTTATGAGTTTTGAATTTTGATCAAATTTAAATTAATTATTCTTGTGAACTTCGTCAAATTAGTACAAATGATGGATGCATGAATGCTCTGAGTGCAAAGTGACTGATGATTGCTTGACCTTTTGGAGTTTATATTGTTATTTAATACTCTTTTTTTATGTATCAGTTAATTTTGAATGGAGTTGTTTTTTGCTATTATTTGCAATGATCATGCTCAATTTGGGAAAGAGTCAGAGAGATATTTTTCTTATGATTTGAGAATGCACTTTATAATGAATATATTCCAAGATTATTATTGTTTATAATCATATCTATCATAAAGAGGTATGTCTCGAAGTATTTTTTTTAAATACTTAAACAGTTGATTTTTGTGAACTCCTCTAATTTGTATATTTTGGTAAAGAAATCCGTCAATTGGGTGAAAGCTTAAAGTGTTCGTCTTTATAATTGAGTGCTTAATTTTAAGTAGTATTTCTTTTGGTTATGATATCTAATCATTTGACTCCATCATCAATGAAAAGGTGCCTCAAATTACACGTGTGATTCATAAGGCTTAGAATATATTCTCTTGCGACATAACTTAATAACATTTGACACAAAAAATTGAAGTAAAGGAACACTTATTATTATTATTATTATTTTAATTAGAGATTATTGTGCCATGTATGTTGTTAACTTTATTATTTGCTTTACTAAGAATGGAGCAGGTAGAATCTACATTCTGTAAGCTTATGTTATTTCCATAAATTGGGACTCAAGACCTTGTCTTATATAGAGAAGTATCCACAATTTTTTCTTTTTAAATGAATTTTCATCATAAAAGGTCTTAAATGCAGTACCAAATATTTTCTAAAAAAATTATGAATTTTTGTTTACCTGGGATTAAAAATATTGGCTCAATTGTGGGTTTTTTGTTTTTTTTTTGTTTTTGTAATTTTTGGAAAATGCTAGCCTCGTTGACTCTACTACTTATTTATGTAGGACTGAGTCTAAAGATTGGGACTTAGTGCTTATCATTCAGACTAATTTTCAACATAAAAGACCTTGTTTCCTAATGCAAAAATTACAAAATATTTTTGTAATGTTCTATCATTGAATTGCCCGTCTCTAGTTCACAATGAAAAAGTTCGATTTGATTAGGGACAAAAATTTAAATTTTATTTTAGTGACTATTGGTGAGTTGTAGGCAACACGGAGGATTTGAGACTTATCCGTTGGTAGGGCTACCACTTGAGCTTTCTATTTGAGTAATACTCGACTCTGAATGACCTTACACAAATGCATCACGAAATAACTTGGTGAAATTTTTTATTGAATTATTGATTCCTAATACATTGCAAAAAATATCTATTTGGCTAGGGAATAAGATAACTATAATTACTTGTTTATAAGTTTGATGGTTAGAATGTACGCCTTGTCAACTCCATCCATCAGATAGAGGATTGAGCTTAGAAGCACTTGTATTTTCCTTGGGATTTATATCCAAATGTTAGATTTTTTTTCTAATGTTAGGCATGCAAGTGATTTGCATTGGGTAAAACAAGGACCACACCAGGCTTAGAAGTACTGTTATTTTTTTTCTAATGTTAGGATCACACCAGACATGTTTCAATTAGTTTGAGACAGCTTGCAGTACTGAACTTTGGCCTATAAAGGGATGTGAGAGTGACTTACCCGAAGGTCAAGTGGCCCTGCGACTGGTATCTTGGCCAATCGAAGAAAGATGAGAGAGAAGAAGCTCGCGTGATGTGCAAGCATGGAGTAAGAAGTTTTGACGTGAGGAAGGAGGGAGCTGAAGCCGAAGGAGGAGAAGAATAGAGGAAGGACGGAGGCGCTGATCACAACAACAACTTATTTGGGAGAGAGTCGAAGCAAGAGATATCCCTTGTGCAGATGATAGGTTGCCCATACTATTGAGCAGGCAAGGAGGGCGATGATATATGTACCGGCTCTTGTGTACAGTTCAACAGGCGAGGTGGATGACGTGCAAATCGATCGCGCGTGCTAAGGAGGAAGATGTGTGCGCATGATTAGGGCTTCGATTGAAAGGTTAAGGTGAGTATAATAATTAAAACAATGAAAATTTAGCACTTAAAAATTAATAGTTTATTTAAAGTATTAAATAAATTTTATATAATTTTTACTTAATACTTTCAATTTTAAAAGAGTCGACGTCAAGACAAATCAAATAACAAATTAATATTCATCAAGATGAGTATTCATGTTCTTTTACTATGATAATATTTTGTTTCTTCTTGCTTGAATGCATATATTGTTACTATTATAATACTGCATAACCATGATTTAGGTTTCTAATGAATTTTATTCATATTGTAAGAATTATCTGTGTGCTCAATTTGTAGATATTGAATATTGCGTAAGAATATTAACAATATGAAAATGAGAATTAAATATTTATTATTAGAAAGTGTTATTTTATTTTATGTTTTTATGCGCATGATTGACTATGATGGAGTTACAGTTACGCCTTTATGGTACTAGTGGGAGAACACTAAAGTACCAGAGTGCACGTATATGAAAAATGATATATATTGGAGTACCTTGATATAAATTTGTAGACGATGCTTATGGTTGTATAGATGTAGAATAATATTGTTATGCTATTAATATAATAAGATTTATAGAATAACATCTCAAATGTTTATATTGATTTATTTAAAATTTTAACTGATATGCATATTGCTTTTTCTTTTTTATTATTACTGTAGTTTAAGAGTATGAATATTCACTGGCTTGTTTAGCTTATTATTATTTTAAACTAATTTTTCAAGTTAATTAAGTGATTAAAAGATGAGCAATAAAATGAATCATGTTTATAGAAGATGCGGACAACTAGTAACGACATAATTTTGAATATTATTTTAATTTAATTTGATTAGTGTCTCTTTCATTTATTAATAGTTAGTTATATAACATAAATATGAGAAAGTTTAATTCTCATCGTCCGACTGTCTGCTCCCATCTTGGTTAATTCAAAGCCCCGGGCCTGGTCATGACACCCATGATGGTAGGATGTGATTATTTAATATATATAATCCTAAGTAAATATTCCTATATATGATGGGATTTGTCTATGGTAGACGAATCAATGATTTCACCTTGTGTTCTAACGATGTACCCTCAACTTTCTAATCGTACCCAGAAGGAAGAATACCCTATCTTGCAAGAGCAATGCAAAAAGGAATAAAAGTACACAAGTCTCATTATCGAAGGACATTGAAAAGACACCAATTGTCCATTCAAGCAAAAGAACGATTAGAAAAATCAACACCTCATTAATTTGGGCAAATTTTGTAAGAGGAGACTTTATTATTGAAACTAGTCAAATCATATATTACACTTGAGATGACTTAGGACATCTGCAATAGGCTCATAAAGACGAAATGCTACTTAATCTTAATGAACCAAAAGCTCTTAACACCAGTTTCCAAAATTTTCTAGGAAGTTTTTAGCAGTTAAGTTGCTAAAGACATTGAAGTGGTATTTTGGGGAGGTTGAACAGCTTCCTTTCCTCACTTGAAGTTATGATTTCATAGGAGTGAAATCCTCTTGAAAGGGGTTTTGTTTTTTAGAGAACCAATCGTGTAGGTAATTAGATTATCTATATTTCAATTTGGGCATCTTATTATGGAGATATCAAATTATTTGTGCCAGTTGAAACTTAATATTTTGATTTTTCTAGAAATAATATTGTTGTTCGTGTTTTTTAAAATCATGTTTGAGATTAATGAGGATGTTGGTAGGTCCTTCTAAGCATGATGAAATTGTCAATAAAAAATCTTACCTCGGAGATTAAGCCCCATAAACTTGGTCGTTCCATCAAATATTAAACTATAGCAGCATATAGATGGTTTGGCCTTTTTTTTTTTAGAATTTAATTTAAATTCACTGCAGTTTTAAATTAGGATAATTCTTGAAGAAATATTATTTAGTTTGATTTTTTTTTTCCTACGCCAAGTTCGTAGTGTAGGGGTTCTATAACACTGCTGATCATGAAACTCAATATCTTAGCAACATATTTAATGACCAGCCTTGACAACTGGACTAGCTGGTCCCCACAATTTAGTTTCAACTTATTTTGTTTTTTTTTAAAGGATTTTTTTTTATTTGTGGGATTTTTAAAGGTTTTTGATAAAAACAGCCTTTTTTTTTTCCTATAAATATACTGATTCTCCTCCGATGAAATTAATAAAAAAAATTGATATTCTTTTAAAAGCCTTTCTTTTCCATCTTATCATAAATCTGATATTGCTATATAATAGCTGGTAGCCAAATGATTGTTCATTGTTGAAGCCGCCAATCTCCCATAGTTTGACCATGATTGCTTTTTTGCTAATGATTTTGTGTTACTGTTGGTTGTTGTCCCTGAAAGGGAGAGAAAAACCTTGGGGCAACTTAGAGCATAAAAGTTTTGCGAATCATGAAGTTATTAAGTTCTATGAATTCAGGTTTGTACAATGAGATAGCATTGAAATTCTTTGCAAACTATAGAGTGCATGTCACGTGCTAGCCAATGTGATTATAGTGGAAAATAAGCAATGATTTTAGTAAACATACCAATTGGAGTCATGGGGTAATTGTAGGTCACTAGTTGTGGTTTCATATGGTGACTTTGGGCTGTTGGCTGTTAGTTGTTGGTGAGTAGATTAGGTTACTAAATAGCATGAGAGGGCTGCAGGTCAGCAGATTGGGGAACAAGCAAAAGACTAGAGGCGAATAAGCGGGAGGATGTGAAGGTGGATAATGGAAACACTCCTGTGGTAGCATAATGAAAGTGAGGTTTCTTCTTGTGTATCAATGATTGAGAGTAACATCTAAGTTGAGTAAGAGAGTAAGGGCATGGGTGGTAAGGTTCTTGCATAATCAACAGAGAAAAGGATCCATTATGACCAATCTGGCGTTTTTTCAAGATAGCAATTTCCAATTTTAGTTTCAATAATAAGTAATATAAAGCTAGAAATTAATATTGGCTTTTAGCTCCAAAAACATCAAATCCGACGCAATTGTTTTTGCAATTTGAATGTACTGAGAATTTTAACGTTTCATCTACTTGAAAATATGAAGGGATGTTGACTTTCCTTATCTAGGTTCTTTATAGTAGTAATTTTTTTTTTGTTTTATGGGTTATTGACATCATTGAATATGTGCTGTAAGTAATTGAAAGGAAAGGTATTTGCACTGTCTTTATTTTTTTTTTTTTTTAATAAGACATGGTCTCTTTGTATTGTTTTTAGCGAGTTTTTCATGTATGAAAGTTTCTAGTTAACATATTTGTGGTCCGGAAATCTTATTTTTAAATTGGCGGTACTGTGATATTTAGTAACTCGCATTAATGCAATTCTCATTGACAGTTGCTCGAAGGTATTCAAAGTTCTCTAATCATTTCAAAGATGCCGAGCATCTCTCATGAGAAGAAGTCCTCCAGAGGTAGAATTTTTTGTTTTTTAGATATTAAAATCATTTGTTACCGTATATTGCAGCTCTTTAAATGTTCAACAATTTTTTCACCAGGTAATGGACATAGTTGAAAGGATGCGTGCTCCCGCCCCTCTTGTCGAAAACTACAGCAGTCTATTGTATGCTTGATGACTGTTTTATCGTTGCAGGATTCTGTATATAATTACAGATTTAGGACAAGTGAGGCATAATGTTTGACTTCTCAGAGAATCAGTTGTAAAGTGTCATAGTAAAAAAATTATTTATACATAATCTTGATTTTTGGTACTGTTAGAGTGGTAGACTTGGGGACTCATGATGATGTCGTTCATTGAAAACCTTTTAGAAATGCCATGTTCCTAGCAACATATGAATTTTTGCTGCAGGGGTTGATGGATATTTTTGTAACTTCAAGAAACTGCATCATCCGATTCTTCTTTTGACGTGGTATGCCTTCTAATGCGCTTCTGCTAATCTATTCTAATCAATGTTTCTAAAAAATCTATTTTCTTTTGTTCTACATTTTTTTTGTTGTCAGGAAATTTAATAGGACGCTTAGATGAATTCATGCAGAGCTGCTCAAGGGAAAAAAAATGTCCATGCAGTTTGCCAGAAAAAAAAAAGAAAAAGGAAAAAAATCACCAAATCAATCTTTCGATTATTAATAATTTCCACCCAACTGGTTTTGTTTCTGTCCAAGTTATAATCCAACTGAGTTTTTGATTGGTAAGAGTTTGCTAATTAAGAATGACACGTATTTATTTGGGCAATTGTGAACAGTGAAAAGCATGTATTCTGGTTTCCTTGGATTTCTTTTGAAGGGCGAACATTAGGTCAAAATTTTGAGTTGTCAACTAAGAAAATGCTACACCTGAATAATTATACAACTATCTGTCAAAAGCCCGAGCTTATTTTGATTATCAAATGTCTGGATCTGACTTGTTGCCATCATTTTATATTTAAATACTCAGCTGCAGACAAGAATAATGTTTTCATGCCCGGCCTTCTTTGGCTTCCTCTACCTGATGATGGCAACCTCCTCTTGGACGGATTTGAGATTCTTTGATAGCTTGCGACATTTTTTCTCCCTGGTTTGGTTGCTATTCGTCTCACCTCCCTCGTTTCTCATTTAGCACATCCTAAATCTTCATTAAATTTTTCCATTTTCCTCTTTTGCCTTCCTCAATCGTTGGGGGCAACCCCCTGCGTGGCTCTTTCACCCCAATTATAATGATGCCATTTCAGTTGGAAATATCCTCTTCAACTCTCAAAATGTTGAGAGCAGCCATTTTTTATCCAGGATTTATCGTGCTAACAATGTCGCATTCTCTATGAAAGGCTAATGTGTTAGATTCGGCTTTTACTGGCCACGTTTTTTTTTAAATCTGTGCTTGGGTTAATAGATAAAATAAGCGATTAAAATTAAGAGGTAACATAGACCTCACTCTTGGTAATATCTTTTTGCTTGATTTCTTTTGCTTTGACGGTATTGGTACTAAATGATGAACGCAATGTCCACGATGGCATATCTAAAAATGATCTCGTTATATCCCCAATTTGTTATTTAAATTAAGCAATTTTTTTTTTTTTAAAAGAAGGGATTTAAGGTATAGTGAATATTTGTCTCAATCTACGTATAAGAAACTAATGCTATTATAATTATAGCCCGGAATTCAAAGATTTCAAAATTGTACTCCATATCTTTGCATGTCCGATCTTTTGCTTGGCAAGATAATATTAGTAGGGGTAGGAATCTAAATAGATTCAATAATTTTATTGTTGTTGCAAGTAGAAGCAAGTGGGTTAATATTATTAGATGTGTTAGTAGACCTAATAAAATTCTAAATGCTGATTTGAATGTTTCTGCTCCTGCGTTATCGGGTAATGCCGAATTTTCTACTGGTATCGATTCTATTTTGTATCATAATGTTACTAATGAGGTTTCTGCTATGGTGAATGATGATGTTACTTTACAAGGGGATGAGAATTTGGCTCCATCATGTTTCTAATAATGAAAACCTTGGATTAGTGATAATGAGACTATTGCTCCTATTAATGCTGTTGGTGAAAATAATTTGGTTTCTCATTTTTTAACTGTTGCTAATAACTTTTCTGTTTTGGATTCTACAAATGATGGAAATGAAATTCATAATGTGAATAATGTTTTACCTTCAACTAGCGGTATGGCTGTTATTTCTTCTTCTGATCATATGGTTTCTACAAGGTTTCTAATAATTTTAGAAATATTCCTGTGCATTTGGCTTCTACCTTTAATGCTAATGTTATAAGTAAGAAAGGTAGATTTAAATGATCTTTTGATCGTAGTATTTATGTTTTTTCCCTGAATTTGCAGCAATGAATGTCCATGGGTTTAATAATGAACCCGTCTTGTTGATTGTAAAAGATTTTTTAAAGAAGTCAAGTTTGATATCATTTGTCTTTAGAGACAAAATTTATTTATTCTTTAATTATGATCTTATTATTTCCTGCTATTATAAAATTTTCTTAAATGAAGGTAATGCTCATAATTTTAATATTACCTATAATGGTAGGATATGGATTAAATGGAATTATGACTTATTAAATCTTTAAAATTAATGCACAATTTATTCATTGTATGGTTTCTATGAACTCTTCTATTTATTTCTTAATGATTGATGTTGATAATAATGCCATGTCAGGAAATACTTCCAGTACTATGAATCCTTCTTGAATTAATCTTGGAGATTTTAATTGTATCTTGAGTAATAAGGATAAAGTGGGAGGAGTCCCACTTTTAACTTTTAAGCTTTATGATTTTAATAATTGTATTTTTAGTTCTAGGCTTTAGATTTGAGAAGTGGAGGGCTGTGTTAGTTAGTCGATATCCAGTGTAAAATTTATCAAAAAATCTTGAAATGAATCCTTTTGATCATTGTGTAAATGCTTAGGCTTTTTCTGGAGGAGATACGTTGTATGACTTGAATACAATGAAAAGTGTGCAAGGACTGTTACACCGACATCCAGGTGTAGTGTCAAATAAGCAAGAGTTCTCACATTATGGACGGATGTTGGTAAAGAAGTTATTCTATGAAATGAAATTGGTTGATATTATAATTCATAGAAAGATAAATATATTAAGTATTAAGAAACTAAAATGGTTTGAGAAAAAAAGTCAAGGAGATTGATAACTTAGGTTCTAAACTTTGATATTAGGGTAAGGTCGCACTAGAAGTGGTGTAGTTGTAATTGTAGATAAGGGTTTGAAAGCTATTGTTGTGAAAATTAATAGAGTTGAAGTTATAATTAGAGCCCTTAAAATATCCTAAAAATTATAATATTATACTTGTTTATGCTTTTCATGTAGGTTTAGATATAAGTTCTAAAGATAAATTATGGAATGATCTAGAAGACTTAATACAACTGATACCTCTTGAAGAAAGAATTTTTACTGGAGGAGATTTAAATGAACATGCCAGTATAATGATATTGGCTACGGTTTTGGAGTGATTAATGAAGAATGTCGAGCTATATTAGATTTTTCTTTAACGTATGATTTTTTTATTGCTAATACTTTATTCATGAAAAGAGATGGATATATTATTAATTATAAGAATGGATCTAATAAAACACAAATTGATTATTTTCTTATGAGAAGAAGAGATTGTCGAGAATGTAAGGTCATTATAAGTGAGGATTTAAGTACTGAACATCAATTATTAGTTCTATATTTTAAGATGAAAAGTTTTGAAATTAAGAGTATCAATAATCATTGTTGTAGAATTAGATGCGTGCACATAGAAGACAAATAAAATCATTTTTATGAGCAAACTTCAAGATTTCATGATTTGGGATGTTCTTAAATAAGCAAATTTTATGGGGGATCAAGTAACAAGCATTATTAACAAGTGACAAAAGTTGTACTTGGAGAATCAAAAGAAAAAAATTTTTATAAATAAAAATAGTTAATTGTGAAATAATAATGTGCAAGAAAAGATAAAATATAAGAAGTTAAATTATAAAAATTGATTTAAATATAAAAGCTTAGATAACCGGGAAAAATATAAAATGACCTGTAGGGAGTCTAAGAAAATAAATAATCTGTGACGTTAAAAATTTTGCTTTTAGTGACCTTTATAATATACTAAAGAGGGTGAAAATATATATGTATAAACTAGTCAAACGAAGAGAAAAAAAAAATGTAAAGATTTAACTCAAGTAAAGTGTATTAAATATGAAAATTAAAAAAAATATATTTTTCTTAGAAAAAGATATTCAACATAAGTGGGTGTTATTTTGATAAATTTTGTAATGAAGTTTCTGAAAATACTTTGAACCTTAGTGATCTTAATATCAATAATAATAATATAATGTTTTATGTTTATCGCCGCATTAGTAAAAAAAAAGTTGAAGAGGCTTTAAAGAAAAGAAAGGGTGGATAGTCTATAGGAGCTGATGATATCCCAATTGAAGTGTAGAATTATATAGGAGATTTAGGAGTTTCCTGGCTTACTAAACTCTTTGCTATTGTTTTACAAACTAAGAAGATGCCCGAGAACTGGAGGAAGAGTATTTCGGTCCCCAGTTTTTAAGGATAAAGGGGATGCACAAGAGTGTGCAAATTATAGATGAATTGAGTTGATGTGTCATACTTCAAAATTATGGGAGAGAGTAATTGATTTAGAGAAAGCATACGATGAGGTTTCAAGAGATATCCCTTAGAGAGCTTTAGAGAAGAAAGGCATTGATATGACTTATATTCAAGTCATTAAAGATATGTATACTAGAGCTATTACTTGTGTTTAAGCAAAAAGATTGACCAAATATTTTCTTATTTCATGTGGATTGCATCAGGGAATGACTTTAAGCCCATATCTTTTTTCTTTGGTTATGGATGCTCTTACTGAATATTTACAGGAGGGTGTACCTTGGTGTATGCTTTTCCGGGTGATATCCTTCTTGTGGATAAAATATGTGGATAATACTAGAAAAAAAGCTCAAGAAAAATTTGAATTATGGAGGTCTACATTGGAGTCTAAAGGTTTTCATTTGAGTAGAACTAAAATTGAATAGATGGAAGGTAATTTTAATAGTAGTAGCTCTAATAGAGTTGTAACTATTGGTAATCAATCTTTTAGAAGGTATGAATGTTTTAGATATCTCGGGTCTATTGTTCAAAATGATGGTGATATAGATAGGGATGTTATTAGTAGAATTAAAGTTGGTTAGTTGAAGTGGTGGAATGCTTCGGGCTTATTGTGTGATAGAAAAGTACGGAATAGAATGAAAGGAAAATTTTATAAGATGGTGGTGAAACCTGCAATGCTTTGTGGCATTGAATGTTAGCCTTTAAAAGAAAAGCATAAAACTAAGTTAAATGTTGCCGAGA